TTCCAAGCGTCGGCAAACTAGAGACTGTGAGGGCCACCCTGTGTATTGACACCCGAAATCAGCTCGAGGTCTTGTATTGGAGTTAATAGCAGCCATGTGTTGAGGGGGAGGAGCTGGTTCGGGACAAGCAGCTTCTTGTCGGATTGCTCGCATGCACCAACGAGAGTTGCAGATCTGAAGCTGGCATCGAGAGGCTCGGCAAGAGAGGTACCGCAAGCATCACGCAATCCAAGCAGAAGTTAGCTTCTGAGTCTGAGCAAGATAGTCTGCCACACCAGACAGGGTCAAGCGGGCTTGTATGTACAGTGATATCGGGTGATATCTTTTCGGCGTGTTTGCAGGCGTGTGCGTGTGTGTCGAAGAAGATAGTCATCCTGGGGGATACCAGGATTAGCCTATCAGGTGTGCCTACTTTGATATAGGCCACGGTCTTCAACCTTGAGAGGTAGTTTGTGAGCTCTGGGTGCAATGTCGAGAGCACGAGAGGGTTGAGTTGTACTCCGTAGCCATTTTGGCTCAAGCCGTTACGACTTAAGTGCCCGGTCCGCAGATCGGTGCGCTAGCTTTAAGTTCTAGACTGTCGTAAGGCTTGATGCCTTCTGCTGAAGATTCCTCGTCTCCGCCCCGTCGCCGTCGCCGGCGGGGCCGCAGACGCCAAAGAAGTACGAGTCCGTCCGTTCCTGCCCGGTCGAGGCCCGGACGGTGGTATCTAATTCTTTCTTTCATTTCTTTTCCGACAGGAGGCGCCGCAGCTCCTCTGTCCGCTCCGAAAGACCCCGCAGCCTTTCTATCAGGAGGCTCGCCCCGGTCTTGTTTGAAATGTTCTGCCCTGTCTCCGCTGAGCCAGGTTTGCTGCAGAGGCCCGCCTTCCTTTGCCGGCAGCCCGGGCTCCCTGCACTCTTTCTCCGCTGGCTTGTTCGGCCCAGGCCCGACCCTACGGCTTTGCCTCCGGTCGCGGTCCCTCAGGCCGGCATGCCGCTTTGTTCGTTCTTGGCACAGTTGCAGGCTGCTTGCATGCCATGGTTTTGCATCAGCTTTATTCCGCAGCCGCTTCCTGCCCTCGAGCACAGCATTCTCATTGCCTCCCGTGATCTTTTCTGTCATCATGGCCCGCATCGGTGGAGATCATCCTCTCCGTGCTCTTGCTGGCCGCATTGTTGGCAGCATTGCCGGCACCCCGGCCCGTGATGGGTCCGCCTCCGGTGCCCCTGTGCCGGCCGCTGACGCTGCTCAAGCTGCGCCGGCCCAGCCCGCACCTGCTGCTTCTGGTGATGGTCAGGCCGCTCCGGCCCAGGTGGATTCCAGCCTGCTGCCGGCCCGTCGGTCCCAACGCCAACGACTGGCTCGCAGTTTTTGGGGCCGTCCGTGCCGGTCAAGAGTCCGCCGAGTCACCCCCCTACAACCCATGGTGCCAGCAGCGCCCCGGCAACCCTTCCGCCCACCGGGCCGCCAAAGAAGAAGTCGAGCTTCCCGCCTGCCTATCCGGCCCCGGCCCCGAAGAATCAGGCCGCTGCCGCCTCGAGTGCCGCCGCGCCTCCGGCCCAGCCCGCCCCCGCCCCGGCAGCAGATCAAGGCAACATCGGCCCGGAAGAGGTGCTCTTTCAGCTGAATGTCCTGTCCGATGATGACCTGTACAGGTGCCTCGCCGACCTGCCCGTCAGCCACATGGCCCGCCTCTACGGCATCACGGCGGAGGTGATCATAGACCAGCTCTATGGTATCACCAACCTGGCCCAGCTTGACATCGAGCTTCCGATCTCCCAAATGGCTGCCGGTGCCGCTCCGCCGCCGCCTGGCAGATACCCCGACAGCTCGGTGGGAAGGCTTGATCCGCTTCCTTCCGGCCCGCGGTTCCCCGACCGTGCTGCGGCCGATGCTTTGCAAGCCTCCCTGTCCGACCCTCCGCCCTTCGCGAGACCCCGCCCTCCGGCCCTGACCGACACTGCTCACATTCCGCTTGGCACCCCGCTGGTGCACAGCGACCCCAACAGGGAGGAGGAAGCTCCCGAGTTTAACGTCGAGGCCCCGCTCACCCCCAGGCGCATAGCGCAGGGTCCCTGGTGCCGCTCTGAGGGATGGTCCCGGCTCAGCATCTACATTCCGGACCAGCCCGGCCCGTTTCCGCGCAATGACCGGACCTGGCCCTACCCGGAGCTTTTTTGTTTCGAAGAGAGTGATCTTCCACCTTGGGTGCCGAGACAGGAACCCCCGGCCGCACTCTCGCATCTCCGCATCCGTGGTTATTGTAGCCACGATTGTCCCGCACGCGGCCCGAACTGCCTGCGTTGCTGTCTCCGTCCGGTAATGCTTTACTCCCGGACCGAACACACGGGACACAAGTGTCCGTATTGCGTCCTAGACGGGCTCTGATCGGCCGGCCCATTTTCCGCTCCGATCCGCTAATTACCTGCCCGGCCCTAAGCTTAGCCTAGTAGATAGGTACGTGAGCCCCGGCCCGTCTTGGATCATTGCACGCTGCCGTGCCTCTTCCGGCCGGCCTGCCGCATGCTCGCCGCACCTTGGGGAAAAATAGCTTCCTGCGTGCTTCTTGTGTGCCGTCCCCTGCCGCATGTCTTGCTGAAATTTTTCTCCCTTGCTGCCTGTCAGGTGTCTGGGGACGAGCAGGCAGGCTGTTCTTCTCCGCTGTGCCCGCTTTACTTGCTAGCTTGTTCTTGCTGTATGCTCGTTCCTGTCAGGTACCTGCTCGTGAGCCCGGTGGGGCCCCGGCGGCCTTGCCCGTCCCTGCCTTATCTGTGCTCCTGCGCGGTCCTGTTGGCCGCTCTCCCGCCTGCATTTCTGAGGGTCAGCCTGCCATATCCCCGCCCAGGAGCGTTGCACCTGCACTGCCGGTTGACAGTCCGGACTCTTCTTCAGCCGGCTCCTTCCTTGTCATCCCGCCGTCGGGGGCTTCTTCTTCCTCTGACGTCCCGCTCCCTGGACTTGCGGACGTTGCGGTGCCGTCCCTGGCTATGGAATTGTCATCGCATGCGCTTCCTGCCCGTGATGCTTCCCTGGTGCGGCACAAAACCCATGTCATCTCCACTGGCGCGGCCTGCCCTCTGCCTGCACCTAAGTTTGTGCCACTTCGCCGTGCCCACGTGCTTGCGACCGGCCTGGGTCCTTTCTGCGCTCCTCCCCCTTCGCTTTCACCCCTTCGCCGTCCGACCCGTGCCGCCCTGGCCAGGTTCACTGCAACGGTCGCGGTGGTGAATTCCGCTGGTGACTTACTTGCCCTTGCCCCCATTGTGCACCGTGGTTTCCTTCCGGTCTCCGCGTCCGGCTCGGAATCGGAGTCGATGGCTGAGTCTGCGACGCGAGCTCTGACACACTTTCGCAACATGTTCTGTGACATGATTCATGATTTGGGTGACCGGTCCACTTTGTTTTTACACACCAAAGCCGTTCCGAACCCTCGCGAAATGCGTACCCGCGCTATCGCGAGGAACGCTCCGAGCACGCTCCAACTATACCTGCGTTCCTGGTCCGCCTGGGTCTTGCATGCTAGCCGCTCCGGCTTCGACCCGTCCGATCCGCCGCCGGGTGCCTTGCCACATTGGCTTCATGCAACATCCGCGCCGTCTGGGCTTTCAACCGTCTCGTTCAAAGCTCTGAGTTGGATGGCTCGCGTCGCTGGCTTACCCTCGGTTCAGGCTCAGCTGCATACCCCGCTGTGTACCGCCTTCCTGACCGCAACCGGCCCCGTCGAAAAGAGAGAGGCCCTTCCGTTCTCCGTGTCCTTTGTCGCGTGGTTGGAGCGCCGCGTCACCGACCCCAACACCGGCCCGACCGAGGTGATTGTCATCGGCGCCGTCCTGTGCACCATCTGGTCTTCGCTCCGTTGGAATGACGCCCTGTGGTCACCTCCGTCCTGCGTGGTCCTTCAGTCTGGCGCTGCGGCCCTGTCCGGTTTGGCAACTCGCACTAAGTCCTCCCGGGCCTCGATGCCGTGGGGTTGTCTCTTGTTCGGTCTGACCGGCTCGTCCTCTTGCTGCTGGGGTCTCTGTTGGCTTAATGCCCTGAAGCAGTGCTGTGCTAGCACGTCCCGCCTCTTCTCGGGCCGTGTGGTGGATTTCTTGCTTCCTGTCCTTAGCGCTGACCCCTCGGCTCCGGTCTTTGTTGCCCCTCTCCACCGCTCTCGTGCTATGCCGTGGCTTCGGTCTTTGCTGGATGAACACTGGAGGGCTAACACTGATGCCGCTCCGCCCTCTGAACATGCCCTGTATGGCGTGCACAGTTGCAAGGCTACTGTCCTGTCCTGGGCCCGGCAGCTTAATTTGGATCCCGAACTCCGCAGGTTGCAAGGTCATCACCGCCCCAGCACTGTTGAAGGATCCGTCCGCATTTACAGCCGTGATGATGTGGGGCCCATGTTGTCCCTGCAAGCCGAGGTTATTAATCGAATTAGGTCCGGGTACAGGCCACTGCAGCCGGTTGCCAGAGGTTCCGCGAACCCCCTTCCGGACTTTCCTGTAACTTTGCCCCCCCCTGACCGACACTTGTCTCCTGGTCCCGCTTCAGATTACACGGCCAGGTCACGCACTCCTCCTCCCAGCCCGGCTGCCTCACATAATGATTCTGCCGACACAGATCTCTCTGATGATAGCTCGGATTCTGAGGATTCGGTGGTGTCTGCTTCGGACGCGGAAGAACCCGTCCCGAACTCGGTTGCTAAGCCCCGCCCGTTGCCCCTAAAAGGGTTTTTGCATAACCCCCGCAGCAACATCTTGCACCGCCCGCTTCCATGTGAAGCTCATGCCGCCAAGTCGGTCTGCGTCCGGCTCTCCGGCCTGGAGCCCTTTTGGGTGAAACCGGCGTGTGGCGCTTCCGCGTGTCTCAGACGTGCCTGTCGCCCCGCGTGAGACCGCACTCTGAGGGGCAAAATGTGCTGACCGTTTCTTGACCTTTGCGCGGCTCCGCATGCTTGCACTTGCCTTGCTTATCTTGTCCGCAGCCATTTTCTTGCTCGCCCCGCCCTATCTTGGTGCCCCTTGCGACACATCATGGCTGATCGTGCCTCACGCAATTCCGCCTCGGCCCAGGGCTCCGCGCGTGGATCCGATGGTTATCCTGGATTCCCGCCCCGCCCGGCTGCCGATGCGACTGGCGCGCTGTTGCTTCCGGCCGCTCTGGACCTTCGGGATTTGGAAGATCTCACTGATGCCGAGATCACCACGATCCTCCGCCGCTGTTCTGTTGCCTTTCTCACTCGCCTCGCCCGACTTTGCGTCCGCATCGTCCGTGCCGAGCCGGAGGTGATCTACTGCCAGGAGCCCTGCAACAATCCCGACTGCAATCAAGCTTGTGGTCGCCGCATTGACCCTACCCGCAGGAGGGGTCACGCCAGCCATGCGTGCCGCATCTGCCACCGCTTTGGCTGGTGAGCCCGGCCCGTCTCCGACCTCGCCGTTGCTCCGGCCCGGTCCTCTCCGGCCTGCTGTGGACGCATGGTACTGCTGTCCCGAACAAAAAGGTCCCGCTCGCGTGTGCCGTTGGCTTGCGTGTTCTTGACCTTTCTTGTTCCGATTGCTCTGCCGCAGCCATTTACTGCTCCAGGCCCACTTTGTAGACTGTCTTTGGATTCTTTGGACTTCTGCGGAAATGTCGTCCGCCCCGGCTGCCTTTGATGATCCGTTGGCCTTGTCCGCCTTGCTAGCCAAATGGACCGCTCCGGATACTCTCCATCCGCTGCTGGTCGCGAAAGGGTTCCGCACCATTGCTTCCATTGCCTATGCCATTCCGGGGGATGGCAGCCCGGATGACTTTCTGCACGTGCTGTGGCCGCCCTCCGACCCGAATAACCCTCCAACCTTGGTCACACCCGAGGCGTCCTTTGCCCGTCGTCTTCTCGTCCAGTCCCGTGCTTTGGTGCATCCGCCGGCGTCCTCGGCTGGCCCGGCCGCTGCTGCCATCCCGGCCGCGCCCCCGCCCAAGATCACTGCCGAGAATGCTGAAACCCTCCGTGCCAAGTTTATCGACTCGTATCCTGGTGAATTGCTGTCTCCTGCTTCCACACCGTCTGTTGAGTTTTTGAACCGACTCCGGGCCGAACTGGACAAGCCTACCACTCTTTGGGTGCCGTGACGCCTTCGCACTTCTGAGCATGATCTGCAGATGTTTTACGAGAACCGGCGGCCCCGCTCCGACGGCCAGCTCCTTCGGCACTTGCTTGATGGTGTTCCTGAACCGGTTACTGCTCAGGCCCCTGCATACACGTCTGGTCCGGTGGAGCCTACCTTGAGGCGACCCTGGCCTTCTTGGGTGATCTTCACCTCAAACTCGGCAAAGCATACGCCGAAAGCTTCATTGCCGCCGCCACGGCCGCTCCGTTGGACTCGTCGCTCCGCCCCCCTTCCATGCAGGAGGTTCTCGCCGCTGACAAGGCTGTCTGGGGTGCCATAGCTGGTTTGATGAGGGACGAGAAATTCTCACTGGCGGACGCACTGCAGGAGATTACCGTCACTCGGCACATGATCCCCACGGTTCTCTGCCCCCGGCCCAGGTCCATGCCTGCTCCGCCGGTCCGCGACTCCAACCCTCGGAGTGCAGCCAATGCGGCAAGCGACCGCGCCGATAATCCTGACCGCCCCCCTAAGAAACCGCGTAAGGACCCTCCGACCCCTAAGGGTAAGGCCAACCCTAAAGCCCCAGCCGGTGGCCGTCGGCCCGTGTCCGAACTGTGGGATGATTCGTGGCACTCCGTTGATGCCAATGGAAAAGAAATATGCCGGCGTTTCGTGCTCGGCGGGTGCAAGCTGTCCTCGTGCCGGTTCGCCCATTCTTGCCCTATCCCGCTTCCGACCGGGAAACCCTGTGGGCAACATCATACCGCTTCGAAACATAAGTCGATGGCCCACTGAGACTCCCCGCAGGCGAAGAGGCTGGCAGCTCCCGCCCCGCCTCCCGAGGATGGCACCGTTGTTGCGCAAATGGTTGATGAAGCCTCTGTTGTGGACTCATCAAGTTCGGATGGCTCCGTTGTCGAGGTTGAGACCGCTGCGCGTCAACCGAGTCGTCGCCTACCTGGCTCGCAACGATCCCGCTCACCAATGCGGCCCAAGCTGGGCTACTCTTTCTCTTACGTCCGGCCTTGCATTCCTTTGGGACGAAAACTTGGCAGCGCTCCCCACCCGTGTGCTAGGCGTGAGGCGGGCACCGCTCCACCCGCTTCCGCCCCCCAAGCCGCCCCCGCAAGCCCAGAACCAGCCGCTCCTCAACCGGCCCTGTTCCTCGATTTATTTTCAGGTGCAGCCGCCCCACTCAGCAAGGCACTCAGTGAATTAGGCTGTGACCGTATCGCCCCAGTGGATGCTTTGTTCGGTGAACAGATCGACGTTCTGGATCCAGTTCATCAGGAATCCCTCAAGCGTCTCTGCTGCTCCGGCCTGGTTCGCGTGCTGTGCGCCGGTCCGTACCCCTAAGTACCCCCAGGGCATCCCTAAACCCAGCCCTAAGCAGCAATCCGAACTTGAGGTTTCGGACCGGCTCCACACTTTCACGCGTGAGCTGCTCTCCCTCGTCCTTGTTAATGGGGGCATTGCTATCTTGGAAAATCCGTCCACGAGCCTGCTCTGGCATCACCCGGGCTGCACGTCTTGGATTCGCCATCACTGCCTCTCCGCTGTGGAGGTTGCCGCCTGCAATCACGGCCTTGATGTCTTTAAGTCTTGGACTTTTGTTTCCAACTTATCCGACCTGTCCGCCGTGGCGTCTTCCTGCCAACATCCGAAAGGCTCTCATTCTCCTATTTCCGGCCTCCGCGACTCTTCCGGCCAGTTTCTGACTCGGCATACTGCGTGTTACCCTGCATCTCTTTGTTCACGCCTTGCCTCCATCCTTGCCCCCCTCCTGTCGCGAAATGTGGGGGTGGTTCCGTTCCTGAACTGGGAGAAGAGTCTCCTTGCACCAAAGCTGCGCTGGCCTATCCCGGCCTCTCGTGTCGAGGACGGTGCTGGGTCTTGCTCTACCGGATCCTGGTCCGTTCCTCAGGGGGAGGATTCCTTCAAGAAGCTGCGTCAGGCCTGGATGCAGCGTATCACCCGTCCGGCTTTCCTTGGGAAGTTCCGTGCAAACCTGGCGTCCGGCTCCAAAGACCCTCCGTTGTCTGATGTGGATTTGCGTCCCTTCCTTGACGACCTGCGATCCTTCTTGAGGCTATCTGAGAAGGAGTTCGAAACGCTCATGTGCGTTCCTCCTGGCCAACCTTTCCGCCTCTTCTTGCTTGAGGCCCTGCTGGAGGTTTCTAGGGACCCGGACATTTCATTCGTTGACATTTTGGTTGAAGGTGTTCCGCTTGGGGTTGATGAAGTAATGCCCTCTTGTCCCGCACTTTTTCCGCCCTCCGCGCCGGTGGCTCCCACGATCCCGCTTCAGCACTGCGAGTCCGCTTGGGGTTCCGCTCTTTCTGATCCTCAAACCGTGGATTCTCTCCTGGACTCTGAGATTCGTGAGGGTTGGGTCCAGCCGGTCCCTGGTGGGTTGCCTTCTCTCAAAGCGAAATATTCCCGTTCCGCCGTTGGCAAGCTGGGTCTTGTAAAGGCTCCCGATCGTGACCCCCGCCTGGTGGTCGACAGCAGCGTGTCCGGGGTCACGGACCACACATCCCTTCCCAACAAATCCGCCAACCCTACTATTTCCGGCCTGCGGCGATGTGCTCCGGCCCGGCCCGCTCTGGAGGCGTTGTTTGCTCTCATCTTAGATGTGAGTAAGGCACACCGCCGAATCCTCATCCGTCCATCCGACCGCGGCCTCCTTTGTTTCTTTCACCGTGAGGTTCTTTATCAATGCCTCACTTTGAACTTCGGTGCCCGCGCTTCTGGTTTTTACTGGGCCCGGATGGCCGGCCTCCTGTCCCGCCTTTTGCACCGACTGATATACGTCCGCCATGCGCTTCTCATATACGTGGATGACCTCATTTCCCTCTTGTCTGGGCCTTCCGCTCCGGTTTGGGCGGCTCTGATGTGCATACTCCTCCTTATTCTCCGGGTTCCTATGAGCTGGCATAAGGCTTACCTGGGCTCTCGACCCACTTGGATAGGCTGGTGCATTTCCCTCAACAGTTTCACTGCCGCCATGGAGCCTGGAAAGCAGGCGCGTCTGCGCTCCTTGCTCCGCTCCGCACTGGACTTGGATTCATTGCCACTAGCACTGCTCCGCAAGCTCACTGGCAAGTTGTTATGGGTGTGCTCCTTGTTCCGTGCATTTCGGCCCTCGCTGGCCCCTCTTTACAAGGACCAGAGCCTCCCTCCGCTGGTGCACGCTGCACTTGGCCCGGATAAGTGGTCAGCTTTCCGGTCCAATCTGTCCGGCAATCTGGTGCTGTCGCGTGAGATTGGCATAGCTAGTTGCCCAAAGGGGTGCACCTTGCTCTCCGTGGCTCAGAAAGAGGTTTCCGGCCTTTCGCAAGTTCCTCTTCAGTTCCCTGGGGAACGTCGCGTCTGGATTTCCGTTCGCATGCCTGCCGACTCGGCCCGTAAGCTTTCACCGGAATCCAAGGAAGCTTTGCGTCTCTGGGAGTCGTGTCTGCTCGGTGACTCTCCTTCCTTCCCGCTGGCCCTGGATCCTTTCTTTTCCTGCGAAGCCTTTGCCGATGCTTGTGCCGACTCGCGTCAGGTGGGGCTTGGGGGCTTTGTCCGACTGCCCAACTCCCGCACCGTCTGGTTCCGTGCTTGCTTTTCCGTTGCGGAACTTCATGATATATTCCCGTGGTTCCCGCCGCAAACTTCCCCTCAGAAGTTTATTGCTGCCTGGGAGCTTCTTGGCCAGATTGCCCTGCTTTGGTGTGTGGCCCTTTTGATTCCGGCCGCCCACCATCCGATCCACTTCAGCAGTCGCTGTGATAACAGCCCCTCCGACTCAGCCGCTTGGAAAGGTATTTCCATGGCCCGCGGCATGTGCTCCTTGCTCCTTTCCTATTTCTTGTGGCAGCGTCACTTCTGTGTGTCAACTTGTATTGAGCATGTCCCTGGCTTCCGCAACGTCACCGCTGATGGACTTAGCCGCAGCAAGGATCCTTCCAGTTTTGGACTTCGTTCTAGCGACGAGGTTGCTATCCCCTGGCAGCTGATTTCCGTCCCCCCGCGTGGCACTTACTCTCCTGAGTCCGAATTTTCGGCCTCCAAATTTCCGGCGTTTCAGCTCTCTCCGCAGTTGCCCTGATGCACTTGGATTGGCTCTGGATTCTGGACTTTGGCTTCGTTTCCCCCAGTGCGGGTATCCATCGCTCCGTGCTTCTGGCTATGATCTTCTGGCCGTACACACTCCGCAAAGTCCGTAAACCGATGTCTGGCCGAACCTACTTGGCCCGCCGGACATCCGCATAACTATCCGTAGCAGCCGTTTCCGAAGTCCGGCCAGTTATCCGGTCCGGACCTCGATGGATCCGCTGCGATTTGAGCCATCCGTCAAAAAGGTGCGCGTCCGCATACTTTCTGCCATTTAACCACACCGATCGTAACGGACTAGTGTAAGCGGAAGAACTTGTACTGTACACTATTCGGCGGGCTCAACTTGCTCAGACGCTCCTTTGCTGTAGAGATGTCTGGGATGCCCTGAGCCGACCAAGGATCAGGCTTACCGGCTAGACTGGTATGCTTCGAGGGGACTTGACTAAGAGCCAGACTGGACTTCAATGCACCGCAGCTACAACTGGCGAATACATTTACCTTCGAGACTCCTGAGGAGACAGTCGGAAGGGCGAATGAGTAGCGTTTATTTCTTTGCAAATCGTATGCGCAAGACCCCAAGAAGCATCGGGTCGGGGCTTCCTTGCTCAAAACAAGCAAATAACGAAATTTGCCGCTCTGCTCAAGCGCATCTTTCCCGTTTCAAAACGGCATTAGAATAGCTCTGATCGTTTCTTGTAGGGTTTTCAAGAGCAGAGCGAGCGCGTGCCGAGCTACCTTTCGGGGCATTGGAAAGCACCCAGGAGGCACAGCCGAAGCAGCGCGGACTGTATCGGCTGCTCAAAGGAGACAAGCATTTGCTCGCTCCGCCTACGTTCCTCGGCGATGTGGCTTCTTAAAGCCTTGCGCGAGCGACTGGAGGAGAATCATCGAAAGGGTGTCTCCGCGGTGGAATTCGTCTGACAGGATCTCCACGTGCGCGAATCGGCGGCAATGTTGGACCTGCATACTTGTAGCACAGATTGTTGCTCTCCTATCATATCGATCATATCGACTTGCGGTGACTAGCGAGGCCGTGCACCTGGGCACAATGTGCCGATCAGTGCAAACCAACCGAACCTTCGTGTGAGTAATATGGCTGCAATGTTTCAGTGCACCTAAACTTTCGCACCTCTTTCACCACGGGCAGTTGGGATGCAGAATCTGGATGAATGCTTTGTAGATTCTAGTTTCGTGGCAGTTTCTAGCAAACCACGAAGTAGTGCATGTGGAGTGCGCATCCAATCCATCGAGCCTTGCCTTTTGGAGGGCAGCTTCATTTTGACAAAGTGAGCCCGTGGCACATGTCGGCACACAGTGCTGTTGATTAGCGACCCCAGCGAAGTACGAAGTTGCGTAAGCGACTGACAGCACCAGGAAGTTTCGCCATGGTATCATCTGTTTGAATGCCATTTCAACAATTGACGGGCACCGAGACATTCGATCCGAACTACTGCTGGGTGTTGTGGCTCTCCCGCTGCCTGTACCATGGTTCAGGGATGCTCTGGGATTGAGGGACTTCGAGAATATCAAGGCTCTCAGCAGGGCAACATCTGGCAGAGTCGGTTCACGACGGCCCGCTTTCAATCCCTCTGCCAGTTGGGCAGCAGTTGCTGGGGAAGTTTCCGTTTGGTTCCGTGTGTTGATTCGGGTTTTCTCGAACGGCGGATTTCAGAGGTTCTCATGACTCATTGATTCATTGGTTATGTACGACGGAAATGGCCGATGCCTGGCTTGTAGCCGGTTAATGCTATCAATATCTATTAACTACTTACCCGCCAGTTCCTTTTGCGAGTTGCATTGGCCACACGAAACAGGCTAGGCCACCAACTGCGTTTGCCGTCGGTTCCTCATTTGGATGTTAACTCCAGTTTCCGGATGTGTCCGCTGCCCTCTGCATTGATGACGTAACGCATCGCACAGGTGAGTAGCACAGTGTGAGAGAGAGAGGGAAAGAGGGAAGGATCTTGTCGAGCCTTGGCCTGATTTTTGATCGCGCCTGTGGCAGCAACATCGAGGTTACACGCCGCAGTACATACCGTCTTCTGAAACGGCGTCCAGTTTTGTATATGGTCAGTTTTCGGAGCTTGGAAAGTGAAAGTCCAAATCTTCCACATTCAATTACGTGCTGCTAAAGCGGAACTTGCAGCAAACATGTAGCAGTGCCGCGCGGGGCCAAAATGTTGTTATTCCGACAGTGTTTGCTCCAAAAGTTCAGGCGAATGGAGGTCGGACAAGAAAGAATACGAATACTCAATGCCTGTGCCCGCGACAACAAACCTGCGATTTTCTCTTGAACTTGCTGCTGCTGCTGCTGCTGCTGTGACGACGTCGAATCGGGACACCATCCAGTAGAAGACGACTAAGACGATGCTGCTGACTTTATGGCCCGGTTTCGAAAAGACGTTTGCGTCGCACAAAAACTGGGTCAATTCCAGTCGACACGCCACTGCAGTCGCGTTGTCGTTTCAAAGAGATGAAGCGTACTACCTAAGTCTACTTCCGTCTTTGGCAGAAACTGCTTAAGAAGAACGCAGAGATCATTCAAAGCAATGTGGATGCCAGTGACTGCTAGTGTTAGACCCAAATGAGGACTATGAACTCTGAGTGCGATTACCTCTTGGCAAAGGGAGCACTTCCATCGCACTCGGGGATCTTGTGAAAAGTAACAGCTTACTTTGCTTGTGGAAGCTGCATGTTGTGTTCTACATGGCTGATGCCTGAACAGAAGCCCAGTCACATGTTTCAAACGAAGGGAGCGGCGAGCGCACAAAGCTGAGAGTGAAGCCGAATGGGGCTTCAGCTGAACCAGACCTAGACCGAGTATCGTGAGGGTTCTACAGACATTGCACGCTGGCAGCCCCGAAAAGTCATCATAGAAATCCAGTTTCAGCCTTGCCCGAGTTTCTTGTTTCCGAGAAAAATCATCATAGAAATCCTGTTTCAGCCTGTCCTGAGTTTCTTATCTGAGAGGCTAAGCATGCTTGAGGATTCCATGAGGTGCTAAGTACGGATGTTGGATTTGTGCGGGAGACTTAGATGTTCAGGTTGAGGATAAAGAGCTTTGACTTGATGTAGGTCCTGAGTTTGGGCTTTCGGCGCGTTCTTGTGCCTTGGACGTGGTTACAATGTTTCTCTTGTGTGGTCTAGCCTTGTCGTTTCCCACGCCCACGAAGCAATGACAGTGCTACCAAAAACGACACAATCAATAGAACCTGGAATGTGCATACTTTCTGGCATATCCGTTGTGCACACCGGGACCAAGCAGCTCAAGCGCACAACTGCAATTCAGCTTATCGCTCTTTATCGTTTGGTCGAGTCTAGCTTAGAAAATGGAAAATGCCAGACGAGCGATGACAAGTTTGAAACAACATGACAACCAAATCCAGTAAGCAAGCTTACCCAAAATCGTCTCTAAATGAAAAACGTACGCCGGGGCCAACTAGGTGTGTACTGCACCGTTTCGATCGGCACCTCCGGGTAATGTACGAAGCCGAAGATGCTAAACTTATGAAAATGAGTCGGGGTCAGGGTCCCTTGCGTGAATTCCTAGTATGACTGCCCAAGCTGGTAGCAGCAGGTTGTGTTTCAGTTCGCGGGACCAGGTGCTTGCGAGGCACACCAGGTCAGTCGTAAAGCCGTGCACGGGAAGCGAAAGGAGCCTGCTTGGAATTATTTTGCTCTATGATTACTACTTTCAAACTATTCATATACTACTATATTACTACTAGAGTACTATAGTACTATTCATATATTACTATATTACTACTAGAGTAATATAGTACTATTCATGTATTGCTATATTACTATGTTACTACTAGAGTACTATAGTACTATTGAATTACTCCACCATTGAGACTGCCTGGCCGCTGCTTTCGGAAGGCTCCTGGGCCCGACGTGCGATGTCGTCGCACTTTGCGCAGTGCC